CCTTAACACACTTCTCTGTCCTGGTCACCAGCTAAAACATATACCAGCTCAAGTTTGGCATAAATTCGGTGTAATTTGCATCCACTCTCAGCAGTACTATAAACATCTTCTAAGACTGTCTATCTCATGGAAACTCTGGTTCTCCAGAAAGCTACTTTGGCCACCCTAATAAATGAAACAGACTGACCCAGATGAGCCCATTGATTGCCTAGAGATGGCTCCTTGTGACACAAGAAAGGTAGTCACAGTGAGCCCTGCAACAATAATCATCTTTCCATCCCCAGTTTTTGGCCCAGAATGGACCAAAGCTCAATGCTTGCTGAAGGGAACTGAATTCTTTGTTGACCTTGTCTTTATGTGTATGCCTAGAGTCAAGGGCTACTAATGTCTTCTGAGATGTCAGGAGTCAGACAGAATTCTGGCTGAATGAAAAATACCAAAAATGCCACAAAAGGGACCACAGGAAGTCCGAGCTATCCACTTCCTCAGCTTTTAGGAGCCCCTCTGCTCTGAGCTATTCCCAAAGAGCCATGCATTGTGGTAGACAGGATAGTGACACCTCCCGTCCCCCCACCAAAAAAGCATCCACGTCCTAATCTCTGAGACCTAGAGACGGATGGATTTAAGATTGCTTATCAGTATGAGTGGGGAGATTATCTTGGATTATCCAGAGGGACACTGTAATAACAGGGGTCCTTCAAAGTGGAAGAGGGGTCAGGAGAGGAGGTCAGAGTGATGTGATCGTGAGAAGGTCTCAGCACAGCATTGAAGATGGAGAAAGGGGCCACAAGCCAAGGAATGCGGGCAGCCTCTAGAAGCTGGAAAAGGAAACGGATTCTCAGACCCATACTAGACTTCCAACCTACAGAACTCTAAAGAATAAATTTGTGTTGTTTCAAGCCATCAAATTTGTGGGCATTTGTTGCAGCAGCAATAAAAAACTAACATTTCTGTGAGCCAGACACTGAGCCAGCTAACAGGGCTGCAAAGATGTCCCAGTATTCCAGGGACACATTGTGCAGGAGAGACAGAAAAATGCATACGTGTAGTTAATGCAACATGCTATGCACCAAACTCCTGCAGCAAGCCCTGAGGGAGCACGGAACTGAAAGTGCTCTCCTCTGCTTGGATGACTCAAGGAAGGCTTCCTGGAGGAGGGGAGATATTTCAGCTGAGCCCAAAGCTGAAAGGAGAAGTCTATACAGCTCTGAGTTCATATGGTCCAGAGCCTTTCAGTTACCTGCCTTCAGGGACATGAGTGTTGAACTGGGAAACATTTTATTGTCCAGACCCTTGATCCTCAAAGTGTAGTCTAGGGACCAGGAGCATCACCACCCCTGGGAGCTTGTTAGAAATGCAGAATCTCAGGGCGCCTGGGTGGCTCAGTTGGTTAAGCGACTGCCTTTGGCTCAGGTCATGATCCCGGAGTCCCGGGATCGAGTCCCACATCAGGCTCCCTGCTCGGCGGGGAGTCTGCTTCTCCCTCTAACCCTACCCCCTCTTGCGCTCTCTCTCTCACTCTAATAAATAAATTAAAAAAAAAAAAAAAGAAATGCAGAATCTCAGGCCCAGCCCAGCCTTACTGAGTCAGAATCTTTATTCTAATAAGATTGCTCAGATGATTCATATGTGCATTGCAGTTTGAGAATCACTGCTCTCCATAACAATGTTGTCATGCTCACCACACAGCGTGGCGAGAACAGAGACAGGGTTCCAGAAATTGCTCACATATCTAGACCCGATGGGAGGGATTGCATGTAGCAGTGCTCAGAATGGTACACGGTCGTTCTCAGCATTCACACAGACACCACACACACGATCAGATTATACACCTCCTGCGTGCATATTAGACAGGCTTCGTTTCAGAAAACCTTGGTTACAAATGTCACCCATTTGTTTCTTAGAAAATGTGACTTCAGTTCTCGTAGTCTAACGGAGCAAATTTTTCTCTCACTCGGTGACCTCATACCTGTACTAATTTACTTTAATAGCTATATCTTCAAATCACTGAGCTTCCATTTATTTCTCCTGCCATTAGCAAAAATAGGTCAGGGTGACTCTGGCAAACCTGAGCACTGATGTTCAGGACTTACATCCTCAGAAATCCACAGACGGGCTGCCCAGGCTCCGAGGCTTACATGCTTGAGGCACGTCCCTTCCTGGCTGTGGATGACACACGCTCGGGCTGCATCACGTCCCCTGGGGAGCCCCTGGAGCTACTTCTGCTACCGGAGGGAGGGTTGAAGGAAGGCTAAATCAAGGGTCCACTCCCTGTGGATTTGCCAGTGCCCACTATGTTAGCGTAGCCTCTCCCCTGAGTGTGCCTGCAAGTTTTGTCTGGTTGCTTTAAGTAAGAGCAAGAGACGCTGTTAACTCTGCTCCATATGCCATGTATCCTGTGGGTCATTCCTAGTTTGAGGAATGGTTAACAGGGTGGGTTCCCCTCTATTTGTAGCCACTGGATCCTTTCCATGCTTGCCACATGCGGATGTGATGCCGATATCGGGTTTCCGGTATCTGAGAGGTTTTGTGATGTTTCTGCAGCGCAATGAGGATTGATTGCATGCACCCGACGGGGGCCCACACTCAGAAGGGACTGAGGTTTGATATTCTGCGGTTGCACTCTTAAAATCCTTAATGATCTCATCTTTGAGTGGGTGTTCTGTAAGTGAAGACTGGTGGGATCATTGAACAGGTGCTGTGGACTTGGTATCTGGGCTCACACCGCCCCCCTCCTACCGCCTCCCCAGCACCTGTTCTCCTACTCCCCACCCCTGGCCCTGCCCAGTGGCCACTGCCACCTTCTGCCCCTCCATGGGGTTCTGGGCACGGGCTCAGGGAGGGTCAGGGTCAGACACACGTTTCCTGTACACTGAGTTGCAGGATGGGATCCTGGGCGCCTATCAAGGTCTGCACTCCTCCCGTGCATCTCTGTGGCCAAGGGAGCGCCACCCTAAATACCAAAGAGAAAATCACGACAGGCAGAGAGAGAGACCACAAGGGAAAGGAGAAAGCTTTTCTCCTGCCTTTTTTTTTTTTCATTGTGGTAAAATACACATAACAAAAAATTTGTCACTTTACCCCTGTTAAGTGTCTAGTTCAACAGTGTTAAGTGCATTCACGTTATTAGTAAACATCCATCACCCATCTCCAGAACTCTTTCATCTTGCAGAACTGACACTGTCCCCATTAAATGGCATGTCCCTTACTCCCTCTCCCCTAGCCCCTGACAACCATGTTCTACTTCCTGTCTCTCTGAATTTGACTACTTTAGGTCCCACATATACGTGGAGTCATACTCGGTTTGTCCTTTAGCGATTGGCTTATTTTACTTAGCATAACATCCTCAAGATTAACCCACATTGTAGCGTGTGTCAGGATTTCCTTCCTCTGTAAGGATATGCCACATTTTATTTATCCGTTCATCCACCGATGAACACTTGGGTTGTTTCCACCTCTTGGCTATTATGAATAATACTTCTTTGAACATGGGTGTGCAAATATCTCTTCTGAGAGCCTGCTTTCAATCCCTTTGGATATGTGCCCAGAAGTGGAATTGCTGCATTCTACAGTTTCCTGCTTTTTGAACAAACATTTTCATTTCGAACTGGGCTGTAGCCGCTCTGTGCACAACCAGCCAGGATGTGAATCATCAGCATCAGGGAACTGCTCCCAATCAGCCATCAAAACTGAAGACTGAAGACTGTAAATTCAGGACCTGCTAGTGTGACCATCCCCATGGAGCAAGGCACTGACTGAGAGTGTTTGCCCCAAGTGTCACCACCAGTCAGCAGCAGCAGGTATTGAGACCGGTGGCTGCAGAACATTCTGGAACTGGTTGTCATTTATCACTGTTTGCGTTCATTGAATACATCTACGTTAAACGTCAGCCAGGAGCCAGACCTAGTTGGGGACGCTGAGGACAGAGCAGTAAATGAAGCAGACAAGGGTCTGACAGGCAAGGCAGACAGTAACTAGTCGCACATTTGACCATTTATTATGCCAAGTTCTGTAAAAGAGAAATGTGGAGCCCCAGGCCCAGGGGTGGGGAGTTGGCCGTGCATGGGTCATCGTCCCTGCCTTCAGTGGGCTTATGGACTAGTTGGGGAGTTTCCAAAGTGGTGCATGAGATGATTTCAGGTGGCACATAAATATCTTTTAAGTAAGTGCATATTCACTTTAATGTATGTTTAAAAACATATATCTAATAATCAACCTTTGATTCTTAAATATTTCTTAGGATGAGGCTCAGTTAAAAAAGGAATTCATGTACATATAAATAAACTAAATCTACATTAAATATTAAAAATATAAACAAATAATGCAAAAACTACATGGATAAGACAAAAATCTAGAGATTGCAAATCAAAGGACTGCGTTTTGGAAACTCCATAAGGATTTTACAGACAAATGCATTTTTAATGCAGGCCATTTAAACTTAAAAAGACTATGGCTGGGGCTAAGACAAACTAAATCCATGGTGCCAGGGAAATGTCAGGTATGAGGCAGGCACGAACTCAGTTCAGGGGAGTCAGGAAAGGCTTCTTAGAAAAACTCAACAGAGTAAATTTCATTCCTCTTAATTATTCCGCCCAGGTGTGTTTGTTTGGACTCTTCAGCTACAGGTGGTGGAAATCCAGTGGGGGCAGCTGGAGTGGGAGGGGTAATTTACAGATGAGCATGCGCGTGGTCTCCCGGCGGGTCTCAGGTTCCGGAGTGACAAGCCTTTCTCGGTCTCTGCTCTCATCTGAGCGTCTGCATCACCTCTCCCTCTCGCTGCACACTTCCTTTCTCAGTATATGTTCTCGAAGACAAGGTGGAAAGGGGCTGCCCACACTTTTCAACTTCGATCTCTTCCATTAAAAGGACCAGCTAGGTTGACATTTCTTATTTCTAAATCCCGACTTCTGGGGAAGTGGCTCTAATTAGGCCGGTAACAGGTGACCTTCCCACTCACCACGTGGATCTGGGAGGGGACAATTCCCGGAATCAGGGTGGGAATGGGGTTGGAGATCCAGGCGGACAACCTGATGGACAAACTGGAAAAACCCTTATTGCATCATCTTCCTGACTCCTTGGTGTCCAACATGAACGGAGGGATCACCCGCAAGTCTAGAACATTTCCTCGTAGGTCACCTTGAGGATAATCACGGCGTACTCAGAAAGCTGAAGCGACAAAGGGCCTCAACCCCACCAGCTGGCCTGCGTGACGCAGGAGTTCACCTGAAGAAAGAGGTAAGCAGATGAGCCTACCAGATACTTAGGACTTTTTGCTATCTAACCTGTAGGAGGGGAGACAGAGGGCGAACATGGTTTAGGTAGCCTGATCATTTTACTTTATATCTCAGAAAAATCACTGGATTTGGCCCTTCCACTTTTGGGACATTGCATCATGCAACAGAATAACTGCTGGTCCATTTACAGCTCTTGGCTCAAGGAACTTGCCCAAGGTTACAGGGCTAGGAAATGCAGAGCTGGGACTCCAAATCCAGGCCCTCTGCTCCAGAGCCTATGCTCCTAGCCAAAAGGCCAGACAGACCCAGGTTAAAATCTGGCTTCACTACTTACTTGTTATAAGTTCTCTTTAAATTATAAATTCAGTCGTAAAATGGAACAAAAGACACACCTTACATTAAAAGGTGATCGTAAAGACTAGAGAAAAAATGAACGTACCTACCCTTAGCTCAAAATAGGTATGACCAAAGGTAGTTATTATTGTTGTTAGAGAGCACCAGTGAATCTGAATGGCATTCGGCTCCCCTGCACCACGAGTGTTTGGTGTGTTCACATTTTCCACAGTGTAATTACCTGCCAAGGCCGACTCTTAAGTAGGCTGGTCCCCTCCATCGTAAGGGAGTACTCAATTCAATTGCTATCGGTGCCATAGGTGGGTGAGTACAGTTTGATCATCACATTCTGCTTACTGACACTTCGGGTGGTGCATTTCACACAGTTAGGTTGTAAATTCTCCTTAATTGAGGAAGAGCACACAAACAGTAAAGGGCACGATCATAAGTGAAAACTGAAATGTGATGTGTGCATATGTCTAGATCCGGCTATAGAACATTTCCAGCACTCCCAAAGGCTCCCCCTGCCTCTTCTCCGTCACTTCCCCACCCCGTCCCCACCCCTGCCAGAGGTAGCCACAAGTCTGACCTCTATTGCCTTAGGTTACTTTTGTCTGTTCTTGAACTTCAGAGAAATGGGATTTGGGGATTTTTACTGCCAGTATTTTCGTGGGCACTTCTTGCCTGCCTCCGGGCAGGTGAGTGAGCAACTAACTGGCATTTTTAAACTGTTGAAGGAATAAAGCAGGCTTAGTAGAAGCTTCAGTGAGTGATGGGCTAATAAGTGTTCACTAAAATTCAGAAGTCAGCAATTAAATATTGACACCTGTGTTATGCCTCTCACAAAGACCTTGCCAAGGATTTGCAGGTGGCAAGGACAAGGAAAGAGGAAGGCTTTAGCCATAACGGGAGCTCAAGACAATCTCATGTCACTACCTTTACTAATATTACTGAGAATAATGACTAAGAAAAAAAACAACCAACCTTTTCCACACTTATTATGACCCAGTCCTTATGCAATGGACTTTAGATCCATTCTTTCAATGAATAGGTATTAGCCTCATTTTGCAGACGGGAAAATTGAGCTTCAGAAAAGCCAAGTAAATTGCCCAAGGTCCCACAGCAAGAAGTGCCAGGATTTGAACCCATCTCCAACAGGTTTCAGAACCTCTGTTCTTGGTCACTATGCTGTGCATAGAGGCAGATGGTATCCTGAAAAGAACTTTGGCTTTGGCAATGGCCACGGGTAGATTCCAGTCCTGCCTCCGCCTCTCACTGCTGGCTAACCACGTAAATGACCGCTCTAAAATCTTCAAGCAAGAAAAGAGCAGGGCGAGAGGACAATTCCCACCCTGCTGCTTTGTCAGAGGTAAGTAAGAGTGTTGGAAACGTGCCGCTTTTACAGGAGGCACTCAACAAGTGGTCGCTGTTGAGATCCTTCGCCACAGTGCTCACTAGGGGCAAACTGCCCACAATGAGGACGGGGTGACCCCAAACAGCAAGGTCGTTCCTGGCCAAAGACACACCCACTGGCCATGGCGAGCCTGCTTCTCTGTCACCTCGCACCTTCTAGGCCTTCCAGCAGGGTCGGCCCCGGCCCGAAGTTCCCGCACAGCACTTCGCAGACGTGGCAGCAGCTGAACACACACACCGACAGATGGATCGGAACGACTCGAAGTAACCCATCAATTCAATGAAACAACTGTTATTGATTTCTGGGTTGTTTTCCTCCCCACTGGTTGTTTAACTGAATTGATGGGTGTTCTCTGGAATTGATTGCACCAGCCAGTTCTTTTCGTGTGATAGAGACAAAATGATAGCGTTCCCCAGAAAATGAACAAATCTGCTCATTAAACAGAATATTCAGGCAAATAAGTTTTTCCTATGACACCGGCTTTCCTCCTCAGTCCCCTCGGCGTACGGAACTGGGAAATATTTAAGGGGGCTTTCATGGCATGTCCGTATGCTGATAAGCTGGCTCCCTTTTCATTTGCTTACTGTTCTCAGGGACCGATCGGATGCCAGAATGAATCCACCCATCTCTCTCTCCCCGCACACACACTTTGGCCAGTTCTGAGTCACTGAGATCATTGTGTCGTATATATCTAACCCTCCCCACCACCAATCGTACACATAAAAGCCGATTTTCAGCATTAAATGAAAATGCAGCCTCTCATGCAAGTCAACAGTATGCCAACTCTTGGAGGCGATGATTCACACACCTCTGATTTATATTTTCTTCCCAGGAGGTTGCTTTTCATGGATTTCAGACAGTACCACACTTGTTTTCACTGACAGTGATGAAAAAAACAGATGTCAAGACAAGTACTGGAAGGACAGGGACGGCAGGGGTGGGGGGGTGTAGAAGGACAAGGAATGAAAGAGAGCTGAGTCCAGAGAATTCTGAAACCCCTCTTTGAGAGCTCTTAAGCTTCCTCTAGCCCCAGGGAGAGACTGGCTTGCTGACCACCCCCCCACTTCAGGAAATAGATTATAGTTGAATTTTTATTGACTTTCCAAAAAAATCAATCTCTCTCTCTCTCCCTGAATTTTTGTGGCTGTCATTGTTATCCCGTTGTTGTGCTGAGATCCCAAGGCTACGGTAATTAGCAATGCAACACACTGGCACGTGAAATGAGAGAGAAAAGATCCTAAGGACATGGGGTCTCACTCACCATAAAGCTCCATAAACCAGCTGACTTGGAATCTGCAATGTATATTTCACATTTTTATGCATTTTATTCAGCATGGAACGTCTCATTCCTGGCAACTCATATGTAATACAGTGTGACATTAAGACTGGGTTGACACAATGCCAAAATTTAAAACTTTGATTTGCTTCTCCATATTGACAGGCTTTATGGTGCACAAAAGATAAAGCAGGAAATGAGCCTCCCTCATTGAAAACTAATGAGAAATTGTGAATTTGACTCCGAGGCACCGGAAAGCAAACGAACTCTTAATGGCATTGGAAGACTATCCCTCAAAATGGCAGATGTAAAATGAGTGAGAACACCCATGAATGATAATAATGATGATAATAATAATAATAACTTTTAACAAACTAAAAGGAAATTCCTTAAATTGATTTTTTTTTTTAAAGATTTTATTTATTTATTTGACAGAGAAAGACACAGCGAGAGAGGGAACACAAGGAGGGGGAGTGGGAGAGGGAGAAGCAGACTCCCCGCCGAGCAGGGAGCCCGATGCGGGACTCGATCCCGGGACTCCAGGATCATGACCTGAGCCGAAGGCAGTCGCCTAACCAACTGAGCCACCCAGGCGCCCCCTTAAATTGAATTTTTTTAAAGTATCTACTAAAATCCCACAGAGTGCTCTTCTTAACTAGAGGCATTCTCTCTGTAGTAAGGAACAGGGCAAGGAAGCCTGTGTCCAGCAGTTCTAGTCAACGTTGTACTGGAGATCCTGCCAGCATAGTAAGAAAAATAAATAAAATCTGCAAGGATTGGGAACAAAAAACCAAAACGTCCTTTCTCACAGTCAATCTGATTGCCCACAAAGAAAACTCATTGGATCATTTATAAATAAGTGGAGTTAATAAGTGGTCCCACCCTGCTATTCAATATCAAAAACAATATGCCAATATCAATTGGCTTCCCATATCTAATTCATTTCGCCAACAAATATTTATTTAGCACTTACCATGTGCCACTATTCTAGGTGTTTATTGTATAGCAATGAATAAAACAGGCAAAGAGCCTTGCCTTCTTGAGCTTACCAGCCAGAGCCCCTTTAAAAATGTAATTGAGATGGCTGGGTACAGGAAGACTAGATGGTCAGCAAAGGCTTGGAACCTCATAAACATTAGGGTTCTGATCCTCGTGGTTTGCTGCATTATATTATTTATCAAAATGTGTACCAGCTCTTCTATCATCAAAGACCAAGGGGGGGCAGAAAGAACTCAGACCACGCAAGAGCCAAGTTTGGCCTGTGTTTAGCAGACAAAATGTTTTTTTTTTAAGAAATCGTACCCCTAAAATTTAATCTTGCTTCAATAATATCAACTATTAAGCCATCTATATTCAAGTTTCACTAATTATCTTAATAAAAATTCTTTAGAGCTAACTTTTAAAAATCCAGAATCCCATTAATGCTCACGCATTCAATTGTTATACTGTCTCAGTCTCTTTTAATCTGGAACAGTCCTTCCACCTGTTCTCCCTCCTGTCCCCCAACCCATCCTTTCACATGTATCCAAGGCCCTAGCTCCCATCAGTCAGCCCACTCACTCAGCTGTCCTTCCTGTGTCCTGATAACTACTCCTGCTTCTAGCCCCTCAGGTTCCCCACTGTTTCTAACTCCAAAATAGTGATTATTGATTGTTGATGTTCCTAAATTGTGTTCACATCCTCCCAAAAAGTCCCATCGTTAAGATCTGAAATGACCTAGATTTTCCTGTCAAGGCCCTGACCAACGCAGGGAGAGGATACAGACAGAGAGAACTGGATCCCAAGGACAGGCACCTGAGACAGTCAACTCAATAGCTTGGGAAGAACATGAACAAGCAAAGAACACCAAGAAGGAGCAACCAGGGAGGTAGGAGAAAACTCAAGGAAGTATGGGTATCCTGGACACCAAGAGAAGAAAGCATTTTAGGAAGAGTGACCAACTACCTCAGTGGTGTGGATAAGTTATGTGAAGTGAGAACTGACTGAGGATGATTGGTTTGGCACATGGAAGTCGTCGCCTTGGCAGGAGCAACTTCGATGGGATGCTAGTGCAATGTGTTCACGTCTAGTGGTCACAGATAGAAAATGAGGACAGATTCTGCACTATCTTCCTGATGGCAATAAGTAATCGTAGTTTCTGAAAAATTAGATATAAAATGGTATTTAAGCCATCTTTTTAATCAGCACAGCATTATACTCCCAAATAATAATGACAGTCATCATTAGACAAGGACTAAGAGCCATACTCAGAACCAGGTGCTTTGCATACATATGTTTTTAATCTTCATAATAATCCCATGAGACAGAATTATTATTTCCATTTAACTAGAACTATAAGGGATATGTCAGTAATCCAAAGAGGAAAATATGTCTGCTTTAATTGGAACTTACACTCTGGTGGCAGGGTTCAAATGCAGGACTGGGACACAGAGAAGCTACATTGTTTGTCCAAGTTCAGAAAGCTAGAAAGTAGATGGGAGCCGGGGTGGCTCAGTTGGTTAGGCGACTGCCTTCAGCTCAGGTCATGATCCCAGAGTCTTGGGATCGAGTCCCGCATTGGGCTCCCTGCTCAGCGGGGAGTCTGCTTCTCCTTCTGACCCTCTCTCATCTCATGCTCTCTCTCTCACTCTCTCTCTCTCACTCAAATAAATAAATAAAAATCTTAAAAAAAAAAAGATAGAAAGCTAGAAGGTAGAGGAGCTGGAATGTAGATAAAACACTGTTCTTTCTAGCATTTTTTGACTTTGAAATAGCAAACATTTAAAAAGGTTGTTCAAAAAAATCAAGGAGGACTTGAAATTATCTATATGATAAAGCCAAACCAGGAGCTGGTTGCGTTTGAACCTCAGAGGCATTGCAAACACACACGTGCGCGCGCACGCGCACACACACACACACACACATGCTTTCACACACACTTCTCTGGGAAGGAAGGGGAGGGTGACCTGGGCATTGTGCGTCTTTGGGCAAGTCAGAGGAAAGAGTAGATTTCTAGAAGAAAGTATACAAAAGCACCCTCTAAAGCTGAAAAGCCCTGTTTCGATATGTGTCTAGAGGCAATAGTTATAAAACCCATGACTCTAGGTAATTTCCCCAATCCCTCCTTGAAACAAAGCCTAAGGAGTTAGCCACTGAAGACCAGGGCAAGAAGGGGGTCCGTTTGCTGCACAGGGCAGAGGCACAGGCTTGCTCGTGGGGACTGCAAGTCTGCTTGTGAGGCAAAATAGCAGGGACGTGACAAATGGTCTTTAAATTCCATTTTCATGATTTAGAAAGTCTCAAAGTTCCCTTTATTTTTAATCTTCTGGGTGGCTATCTCTGTTATCTAAGGCATTGTTGCTTGATTGGGCCCCCACTAATCAACACTAGAGGTTTCTGATTCCACCCAGTATGTTAGAAGAGACACACTTTTCTAACTTGATTACCAGGCTTTGGATATACTGTACATCCTGCTGCCTTCTCTTTTTAATCTCTGTGAGCTCTGTGTGCTCAGAGAGAAGCTTTCAAAATCATTTATCTTAAGCTTTCCAGCTGCTGTCTCTCAGCATGTATGTCCAGCCAGAAGAGGACATTCCCATGAACAAATCTGGGTTCTAGGCCTTCAGCTAAATGTACAACGCAGCTGTCCTAAAAGAATTTTCAGAGTTATGTATTTCCTAGAAAGGGGAGAAGAAAGGGACCCTTCATTGTTGACCACTACCGTGTACCAGATGCTCTGACTGACATCTTGTACATATTAATCATCATTTGTTAACTCTGTTTCATGGACCAGAAACAGAGTTTCTTTTGGGAGGTTCAATTAGTAAGAAGGGTAATATTTGTTTAGATTATCAGTTACTTAAATCAGATGAATAGTTTCACATTCTCTGATAGTTGTATATGCCAAAGATTGCTAGTTTTCCCCTAGTAACCATTCTCTCTTCTCTCTCAATTTTAGCTGAACAAATGGTTTCCCAAAATCAAGGTCACATTTTCCAGCCTTCCTGGCAACATGGTATAGTCATGTAACAGAGTTCCGATGACGGGGAGGTAAGTGGAAATGGTGTGAGCTTCTTCTACATTGCTCCTTTAAACTAAAAGGGCTTTCCATGGGTCTATATGCCTGTATTTATGACAGCACCATACTACTCTGACTACTGTAGCTTCATAATATATTTTGAATCAGGAGTGTGATGCCTCCAGCTTTGTTCTTCTTTCTTAGGATTGATTTGGCTATTTGTGGTCTTTTGTGGTTCCACATAAATTGTAGAATTGTTTTTCCTATCCTTGCAAAATGTCTTTGGAATTTTGATAGGAATTGCTTTGAATCTGTGGATAGCTTTGGGTAGTATGGACATCTTAACAATACTAAGCCTTCCAGTCCATGAACACAAGATGGGTTTTCCATTTGTTTCTGTCTCATTTAATTTCTTTCATCAGTGTTTTGTAGTTTTTAGTGTATCTCACCTCGTTAGTTAACTTTATTACTATGCAACAGAATAGAGAGCCCAGAAATAAACCCACACATATATGGTCAACTAATTTTCAACAACAGTGCCAAAAATACACCATGGGGAAGAATAGTCTCTTCAACAAATGGTGCTGGAAAAACTGTACATCCACATGTACCAGAATGAAATTGGATCTGTATCTTATACCATACCCAAAAGTCAACTCAAAATGGAGTAAAGACTTCAACCTGAGATCCAAAACTGTAAAACTCTGAAAAGAAAACATGGGGGAAAGCTTGATAACATCGGTTTTGGCAATGATTTCATGAATATGACACCAAAAAGGAGAGGCAACAAAAACAAAAATAAACAAATGGGACCACATCAAACTAGAAAGCTTCTACACAGCAAAGAAAACGATCAACAAAGTGAAAAGATAACCCACCAAATGGGAGAAAATATTTGCAAACCATACATCTGATAAGGGATTAATATCCAAATTATGTAAAGAACTCATCAACTCAATAGCAAGAAAACAAGCAATCCTATTTTTAAATTATACCCATCACTCATTAGCCCCTATCTCTCTTCTGCTCTCATCCGGAACTTTGACCAGGTTCTATCTACCCTGTGGCACCCTCAAAATTCTAGAACTCCCACAAAATGGCACTCACTTGCCTTATTAGTTAACTTCCAGGTGAGAAGCTAAGTAACAGTGATTTCTTCCAGTCCACTGCTTGCTCTCTTCCTGAATAGCAAGTAATGAAAGGGTAGTCATGGGCATCGGAGTTCTTTCAGTGCTTGTTGAAAAAGAGCCAATACATTCAGGAAAATGTCTTCCTTTCACAAAGTTGCTTCCACTCTAAGGGGTCTATTTTACTTGCCCTCCCCTTATCCTGACTACTTCTCTGTGGTGTAATCAGAATGCCACAAGCTATTCCTAGATAGAAATGTGTGCCTTTCGGGGAGAGGTCAGGCTTCTGATGCAGCCCTTGATTCACTGAGTGTCCACACCAAATCAAGCAGCAAAGAGACCATCGATCCAACCCAAGGACCACCCTACAGTTTCATTAAAATGCAGTAGACTCATATCAGGAATATAGGACACATACCAACATCCTGAAATCACACAGCTACCTGTCATTTCTGAAGGCAAGTTGCCTTCTCCATCACTCCTCCAAATGTTCCCTTTACAAGCTGTGAAATTTTGCCCCTAGAATTGACTTCCCATGCCTTGAATGATGCTGGACTTTCAAAATTCCCTGCACTCTCTGACTCTACAAGACCAGCCATCTGTCTTGGCTGATAAATTCTGCATTCACGAGGGATACATTAAGCCCAAGGCATTCTATTTCCAAGGACATATGCTACATTTTTTTCTTTCTTTTTTTTTTTGTATAAATTTTCCTAGATAAATAAAGTTGACATTTAATTCCAGCTCCATCTGGAAGATCAGGGAAACTCTGCCCTCACTGAGCGCACTTCTTCTCTTCATACCGAGGAAAGTTCTTGGCCCTAGAAGTCAGTGTGGCTTGGTGGGAAAAGTATGAGTCTGAAAGCCTACAGACCTGAATTCAAATCCTCCAGATTTGAATTGAATTGAGTTGAATTCAAATCCTCCAGCCTACTAGCTGTGTGACTTTTGGCAAATTATTAATCCTTTCTGAGCCTTTGTTACACCTTCTATAAAATGGGGACGGAGTTATTACTACTCGGCCAAACCAGCAGCAATGCCCATACATGTACTGCTTGATATTAATTCAGTAAGTAGAGGCTAGTATTCTTTATCCTGACAGAATACAGAAGTGGTTAAGAACCTGAGTTTTTGTGCCAGGAAGACTTAGCTTAGCATTCACACCCGTAGTACGATTCTGGAGAATTTGTTTAACCCCCTGAGTTTGTTTCTGTGTCCAGAAAGTATTAGTGAAAACTAACGTACTTCTTGTTGAGAGGATTAGAGGTGATTTCTGTAAAGCACTTTAGTACCTGGAATGTGCTTAATAAATGGTAACTGTTAGTATCCTTGATGTTGCCATTATTATTATTGGACATCTTCCCAAACACTGGCTCAGAATGCCTATTCTCTCAGCAGAATTATCTACTGATTCAGTTCAGGAGACAACTCCATCCTTGGGACCCGTGTTTTCTTTTGGCCCACCCTGCAGCTGAATTCTGGTTGTGAGGACAAGAAAGGGTTCTCACCTCCTGATTTTTTTAATTCGTCAAGGACCATTGTGGCCTCTCTGAAAAATGTTTTGGTTACTACCCCCAATCTTCAGAGTAACCAAAAATGTGTGAGCCATGATGGAGATTTCCTCTTCACAGGTGAGAGAGTGGCCCAGAGGAATGATGAGCCTGAGGTTATGGAGGCTTATAGGGCTGAAAGCCCAGTATAACTCAATGCTATCTGCTTTTAAGGGAGCCAGTAAAGACTATTATTGTTACTCAGGCAGTGAGGTCTCTGTCACACAGTGCCGACTTCTCTTAAAGCCTCTCTAAATGTCCATTTATGATCTTCATTTTAAACCCAAGTCATGTTCATATTGTTGTATAAAACTAAATCACCTTCCAAAAGAAGATTGTGCCCAACGCATCTGTCTGAGTCCTTGTTCCTGAACTGTTCATCTTCTTGCCCAAAGGCAGTTGACTCCTCAATCAGCAACCCTGCCATCCTTACTAAAAACACAGAGTTTGACTGAGTTTGAATGCTGAAGACCTAAGCACAATGAGGAGGGGAAGGGTCACACGTAAAAACACATCCAATCAGCTGGCTTTTCTTCAGTTGAAATATGGGAGATGCTAAAATGCATCTTTTGGGACGCCTGGGTGGTTCAGTCAGTTTTTTATTTTGGCTCAGGTTATGATCCCAGGGTCATGAGATTGAGCCCTGAACTGGGCTCTATGCTCAGAGTGGAGCCTGTTTAAGAGTCTCTCTCTTTCTGCCCCTCCCCCACCTCTCTCTCTAAAAAAAATAAAATAAAATAAAAGGCATCTTTTATGAATACGAGATTGGGAAAGAACTACACTCACTTACATTTCCATATCCACTCATGACCGAAGCCAACCCTGTGTCCTGCTGAAACGAGTAGAAATAACGAGAAACTGGGCGCCTGGGTGGCCCAGTTGGTTAAGCGACTGCCTTCGGCTCAGGTCATGATCCTGGAGTCCCGGGAT